AACACGACCTTGGGCTGGATCTCACCCCTCATGCAGGTGCTCAGCACAGAACAAAGTTCAAGTCCATTTAAGAGCTATTTCAGGGGCTTAAGGGGGCATTAGATAGGGTGCAAGTTTAACACTCATCCTCTGTGCAGGATAGATTTGATATTAACTGTAGTGAAACTGCTGTGGTGGATAGTCTTTTTAGCTGTGAGTGATCTTGTGTGCTTACTCCTTTGCAATAGCAGCTATGTGACTTCTTCATTTATACAATCAACCTGAAACTGTCTTGATGAAATAAAGTTTGTAATTGCTGCTATCACAAAAATTGTAACTGGAAAAGTCGTTGCAGTATGTCTCTAGAATGCTGTCTCCAACTCCTATACCTTGCTGAACATTGCAGGTAGCTTCTCCGGTGATGAAGAAGTGGAGCTCATCTGAACATGGGACAGATTTGAATAATCTCTTTCACCTGTCCAGCAACACAGAATTGTTCCTTGCCTTTTGTTTGCTCATGCTTTGCCCAGGCTAGTCGTGACCAACAAAACTTCAGCTTTTTGGGCAAGTGTATCACAAGCCACTGCACCTCAGTCTTAGGAAATTTATCTTGCTGTTCAAAACAGTTCCTCACACTCCTTGACGTTTACTCCTATGGGTATTTGTAGGCTGTTATGTCTGCCCTTACTTGTTGTTTAACCTAGCAATAAGCATTTAGCTCTGTCCTCATAAATCATTTCCCCTCAGCTCTTTAGCTGCCTGTGCTCCTAAATATGAAAAACCCAGGCTAAGCCTACCCTTGTCAATGACTACGCCCCACAGGATTTTACTAGTGGCACAAAATCATTGCTCAAGCCATGATTTCATTCCTGGCTTATTGCATGATACTTTGCTCATTATACTGACCTGAGGATCTATATCAGCAGTTCTCTGGGTTTCTTTCCCATGTCCTCCCACATACTCTTAAGACTTGTTCCACCTCTTCCCCCAACTTTAAAACCACTAATTCAGGCTCCCTGCCCCTTCTCCCCAAGAGCACATCTTCTGGGAGTAGTGGAGGCTGCAGGGAGTGTCCCTGTTGCCTCTGTTCCCACTTCCTTCATCCCTCACTCTTCGCTGAAGGACTTCTCTGCAGACAGAAGCTGGTTCCCAGGGGCAGCCGGAAGGTGGGCTTCCACAGCACATCTCCCGGGATCACTGTCTGGTGGGTGCAGCTCCCTGGAGCAGGGTAAGGAAGAGTAGCTGGCTGGGTTCAAACCTCCTCTGCCCAGATCCGTGGCAGGAGCTGGTGGGCAGGGAGCTGGGCTGGGGAGCTTACCAGCCGGCTGGGAGAGCATGGGAAATTCTTGCATTTTTGCCCCTCCTGTGGGCACCTGTCTGCATTTTTGGAGTGGCTTGTCTGGACTTAACGCATACCAGTTTCAGGAGTTTTGTGGTGAGGCCAGAATGTGCTGTTGATTAAGTCATCTTTGAAGGTATCCGGATCTTAAAATAAATT